AAAAACACTTTAATAGCATAATCTTGTAATAACATAGTAGCATAATCTTGTATTATAGTTATTGTCAGGAGTCTGTATGCAGAGGGAAGTTCAAGTCAATACTATAATTACAATTTAAGAATTTGTAATGTCAAAGAAATGTTTCAAATACATTGATTAAATATCTGGAAACCAAACACCAATCAAACATTATTTAAAGTTGAAGATGAAAGGTAAATTTGTCAATTAGCCAGAATTTATAATTTTTTAAAGATTTTCCTGCCTGGCAGGACATTGCAGCTGATTTTACTATGGAGCAATCTGTAGCCAGCACTGGGCTGTAACCTAGCATTTGGTCTTTGAGATCCAATCTTAAGCATTACATTTTCTTTGAATTATTTTAAAACTTTATATGTTATTTTCCAATATTTATGCAGAAAACTATAGGGCCTGATGGAATTTCTTGGTCATGTAGCCTGCCAAACAAGTTATTGACATGTAAATAGGTACTGCCTGGTGAGGATTTTACTTTTTTTTTGCAGTCTTGCTTTCCTCTCTCTTCTGAGGAAGCTGGGGAAGGAAGAGCAAGCAGAGAAGTGGTTGTTCACTCACTCTCCTATTTGGGAGGGGCTGGAGGAGCAGGGAGAGCATCGGTGTGTAGTGGAGAGACACAAGATGGCAGAGATGAGAAAGGGTCAAAAGATGGTGGAGGTGAGCATGTGAGGAGATGGAAGAGCTGGCCGGGTTATAGGGTGGGGGAGGTGTGAGTGGTGAGTGATCAGCGAGATCAAAGGTGGGAGTCAGGAGGAGTGGAGGACAGAGTTTGGGCTAGAAGTACCTGAGAGGGCGAACAGGTTTGACAGAGGAAGAGGCAAGAAAGAAGGCTTGTAGTAGGGGATTTCTGACCATTTGCCATTGAGTTGACAAAAGTTACACAAAACATGCAGTGTGTTAAAATTGAAAGTGCCATTTTGGGCCATTGAGATTTATTTTCTAGTTTGTACCGAGTTCAAACTTGATTGCAATAAAAAATGAGTCATTTTGGCTTAAAGTCGGGTTCCAACCATCCAAGGGGATGAAGTTGTTCCAGGAGGCATCCAAGAAGCATTGAAGGAGGTGTTTTGGATTGTTGGGTGCCTGTGCTAGAGCAAGTAAAGAATTAGCTCCCTAGGAGGAGAGCAAAAGAGAGGAACATCTTTGTCTCTTTTTGTCGTGAACTGCAACATCAGGATCCTGCCAGCAGGTCCTAAACTTGAAAGGACAAGGACAGAGAGACGGGAGGCACTTTTCTTCTCAAGTTACTTGCTTGCTTTATTACAGAACCTTTTCCTTTTATACTCTCCAGCTGTACAGGAGCGAAAGTACCGCCCACACATTCCAGAAGGAAGTAATAACAATTATGAGTTACATCTGCTAGGCAATAGATCAGATCACCAGCTGAACTAGCCCGTTGCTATGGGTGACAGCACGTCCACACTGCTCAGGTGAATCACAGATCAATATGGCTGTGCTCTCCATAATTCCCCCGTTTCTCTTAGAGGGTACCAGACATATGTCAAAGAGCTCCTGTCTTAGGTGGCAGGGATGTCCTTTCTCCTTACCCATCATCAGCGAAGAGGGCTTATGTCCCTCTTGCCTGTCTTAGGTTGGTAGAAAGGAGGCCCCGACCTTACCCGTCTATGGATGCTCCACGGAGAGGGAATTATGTACGGCGGACTTGTGCCAAATAGATGGCCACCCGAGATGTGTCATCCTTTACTGAAACTTGTACAGTCATAGCAAATCAAAACACAAAAGATTGATACATTCTTGTCATCTTGCAATACATATAACAATTACAAATATGAAAAATTATCAAAATTACAATGATCGCCAATACAGGAATAAATATTACAGAAAAATACTATTTAGCAGTAGTACATCTGTGATTTGAATCTTGAAAGAGAGGGGATTCCCCCCTAACTTTTCTAAGGTGAATCTATTTTCCAAAGTTCTGCAGACAAACTTATGGGATATTCGAGTGACCAGTCTAAAATTTTTGTGATGTCTCATTAAATCCTTGTTCTGGATAATAAAGTTTCCATTTGTGCACCAAGATACATCCTGAAGTTTTTCTCTGCTGCTTCAGTGTTGGGGTCCCAATCCGGTCTCCTCAGTGGAAACCCAGCTTCAAGCTGTTCAGGGATAGTGGTAGATCTATAAATGTACCTGTAATCATAAATAGGTGGAGCAGAAGAGAAGGGACAATACCTAGACCGAAAGGTTATTATCATAAACAATATGCTGAAAAACCTGCATGGTCAAACAATATGAATACATTTCATATACCAGAAAAGTAGCAATAATAATTATTATAATTATATGAATTGTTATGTCCTGTAGTGTAGCTTTGTATCAACAGGATCTTCCCTTTTTTTAAACAGAAAATATTTTTTGAAGATAACCATCAGAAACATGTTACAATAACATTTTTATAATTCAGACCTTTGATGATAACCAATTAAACATTTTTAACAACATTTAGCAAGGCATATCTTTTTATAAGGCTAAGAAAATTATTTTGGTGGCTCCCATTAGTGAACAAAGATCAGAATACATTTTCTGAGCAGCTGCTTCTTTATTTACCAACAGGAACATATCCAAACTTAAAGGTTATATTTAATTATCTTTTAAGTTTTTTATTTGATCCTATAAAGCCAGGTTGTAGAAATCAACAATCTATTTATATTTGATGTCATTTTGATCAAGAACATAATTGGACAAACATTTTTGAACACTTAAGACAGACAAACATAAGACATTTTTAACGAGTGCACTCAGATGGTTTTGGCCAAATGAATTATAAAATCTTTTTGTTATGACTAATCAAAATTTTTGCAGGTCAAAATTAACAGAGATCTCTTGTAGAATTAGGGTTAAAGGAATGAAAGCTCTTGACTGTAAATGTAAACCTTTTATAACAAACTTGAAACCAACAAGCAAACATAAATAAATGATTTCCACACACTTCTATATACTTAGGCCTTCTGGTCTTGTGTATCTTTCTTTACCTGTTTTTTAACAAGATGAACATACAAAAACCTCTCATGTCAAAAGTATAACTCTTATAGCTTTCCTAATATTTTTGTCTCATTAACTATTAAACTTCTATAACAACTTCAGCTTAAAATGTCCTTTTTCTGTACTATGATTGTTTTTTCTTTGCCTTAATTCCTTTCTCCCTGAATAAAGACTGAATTACTGTGCTAAATTTCATCTCGGATCCTATGTGCCCCATTGGTACCTGCTTCTCCGAGGATTTTCCCCACCGGGCGTTCCAGACAGCGGTGTCCTCCTTGTTTCGACTCGGCGGAGTCCTTTTTGACAGCAGGCTTCTTCTGATTACTCACCGATCGCCACTTCAATTTCAAGTCCCTGTTCAGGTGCCACTTGTTGTGAGCCGGCAACACAGAGCACTGTCCAGCAGTGTCTCAAACCTGAAAGAGCAGTGGGGTGGAGATGGGGCAGAGAGACAGGAAGAACGCCAAGAAAAGAATCTGATCAAGGTGACGTTTATTGCAGGCAAGCATCAGCCTTTTAAAGGGAAAGACCAAATTATTATGGGCTAGGATTACCATAGTAACCTCAACACCCGCTCCACGGGAATGAGGGTTCACACGGGAAAGAGAAATCAGGCTCAAGAAAAACAAATTAACAACACTTGCAACTAATAATCATGATTCCCACAATAGGTGGAGGAACTTAACAAAATGGAGTTACAACACCTGACTCCTACAGATAACGTCAGATCTTTAACAGGAAGCACCTGACTCCTACAGATCTTTGGCTTGTCCGAGTTTCTCCCATGCAGGGTCGAAACAAGTTTAACACATGCAGTCCTTAAAAAGGAACAAATGTTATCTTTCAAAAAACCAGTGGGCCATGGCTGGCTTCCCACATCTTTTGATGCTCCCTGAGCCAGTCCCCAGAAGAGAACAAGAGGAGTAGGCTAATGGGGTATCCCCCAGGGTCACAGTCCTGGGCCCCGTGGCCTGAGAGGGTCTCACTGACCAAGTGCTTGGATTTCCAAGTAGTCCCCAAAAGGAAAGAATGAGAATGAGAGAGAGGACCCGAGTATAGGGAAGCTAACTGCCTACTCACCCTGAAATCAGTGACAGGTGTGGATGTGAGTTGTCAGCAATGGCAAAGGTAGAAAGCTCTGTGGAGACCAAGTTGACTCCATTTTGCTAATTACCTAGTTCTCAGAAAAACCCATGACTGTTCCCGTAAGTTGTCATCAGATGTTCTCTTTTGTTAATCTTGTTAGGACAAGGAGGGACATCTGGCCTGGGACAATTAAGCATTGACAAAACACACACACTTGCAAAATGTTAACCAATCAAGCATTGACCCATTTAGAAAGCCCCTAGTTCTGCTTCTCTGCTAGTATAAAAGGCTGTTTGAAATCAGTCTCAGGGCTCTCGGTACGAATCCGCTGTGGCAGTGAGGTCTGAGGGTCCAGGCTCGAGCTTGCAATAAACTCCTGTAATTGCATCAGACTTGACTCGTTGGTGGTCTTTGGAGATATCACGATCTGGGAACAACAGTTCTGGCTTGGCAGATGTGGTCTGGAGGAGGCAGCCAAAAGGCTAGTCAACCCCGTCCCATGGGGGACTGTCACTTAATCAACCACCTTCCTCCCAGGTTTCAGCATCAGATACATGTGGTAAAAAGAGCTGAAAACCAAGAACAGGCCAGCATTATAACAAAACTTTATTATGGGGAGGATCTGCTGGGCTGTCTCTGAACAAGGGAGAGAGAGAGGCCAGCTTGATTTTTTTAACTCAAGAATTCTTGATTTTCTTTTTTCCACCAGTTATTGAATACAAGACTTTGCACTTGCCAGGCAGGCACAGCAACACTGATCTACATCCCCAGCTCAACATAAGATTCTTTAACAAGAGGTATAGTATCTAGTGCTGATATTAACTAGTTTTGTGATGATATTAACTAGTAATGCTCAATGTCTGAATCCATTAATTTATTATGGTTCCATTAGAAATTATAATACTCTAACATTATCATACTTTTTTCATAGCTGGATTAAGAAACTTTCCTACATTTACTATTTGGTCACCAGTTTGATAATTAATGAAAGCAAAACAACACATGAATCTTTCCCTTTAGTTTTCAGTTTTCAAAATGATAAGATGCTTTCATTTGCATTCTCTAATGATGATCTCATGTATTTAAACATACTTTAAGCCACTGTCCTTTTAAATCCCTCCTTTGTTTATGCTGCCTCTGTCACACCTGTATATATATTGCCCATGTCTTCTATGTGAGATATCAGTTCATTCTGGCTTTGTTGTTGGTCTGGCCAGTGCCCCATGAGGTTGGCTGCCTAGCCAGACAGTGATCTCTTCCTATTTTGTCTTTTTCTCTTTTTTTCTTCCAATCTTAACTTCTATTTCTCCTTTTAAATATGACTCACAAGTCATCATCCCCTAAAAAGCATGACAGTACAAGACTGAGGACAAGAGCTTCTGCTTTTCTTTAATTAGAAAAAAAAAACAAAACTTCTATGATTCAGAGTCATCAACCTCTATCCCTGTTGTTTATTGTCCAAAAACAGTAATATCAGAGTTTCCTTGGGGTTTGAAAATTGTGTGTAAGCCCTAGGCATCTATGAAAAGAGGCTGAAACACAGGGCTTGAAATTGTGGCTAAAGGTCAACTAGAAGAAACAGGAGATTATTTATTGAAGTACTCTTTCTCAAGAAAGTTTCTAAACACTTTGGGTACATTATCTCATTAATTCCTCACACCAACTCTCCAAAGTAGAGATCATAATTCACATTTTACAAATGAAGAAACTTAAACTCAGAGTTCCCAAAATTGAAGAATAATAATCATTAAAACAAGCAAAAAACAATGAAAGGAATAAGAGGTAGAAAATGAAAGAATTACCAGGTTTGATTGCATTCTCCCAAAATATAAAATCTTGAAGACATGAGAGTGTCAGCATACACTGTGAACTAGGAGAATTCTGGCTAGGATCTTCTCAGCCTGAGACTCAAATTCTTAATCTAAGAGTTATGTTCCTATCTAGTCATATCTTGGCATTTATCAGTGAAAATCCAGGTGTCTGTGAACTGTTTTACTCCATTCCTGTAGCAGATAAGAGGAAAGCAGCACCAAACATCAAGACTTCCCCACATATCCATGGATTTCAAAGTGAAGTTTTCTACTATATCTGAGAGCAGACTTCCTCCAGGCTACAGGTTAGCCATGCTACCTGATAATAAGCTCAGAGTCCCGTGAAGGTATTTTCCAAAATGCCCAAATTAACTGCAGCCAAAGCAGACAGCCTCACACTTAATCTAAAACAGTCCATGTCATTGTGAAGGAAAGCAAGCCTGAGATGTAAAATGAGGACAAAAATGAAAACATTTAGAAGCTGGAAGAGTCAAAAACTGGATGGTGTTAACTACAGTCACATGTCATATAAAGGTATTTCAGTGAACAACAGTACATGGTCCTATAAGATTAGAGTAAATCTGAATAGAAGACCAAAGAAATTCCACTGAGAGACTTCTAGAATTAATAACCAAATTCAATAGTATAGCAGCATACAAAATCAACACAAAAATCAATAACATCCTGTACATCAATAGTGAATAACTAATAAAAAATAGAAAAATAACCCCATTCACAATAGCATCAATAAAAATTAGATACTTAGTAATAAAACCAATGAAGTGAAAGGACTCTATAACCAAAACTACAGTACTCTGACAAAGTAAGTCAAAGAGGATATCAAAAAATGGAAATATAGCCCCTGTTCCTGGATACATAGAACCACCATTGTCAAAATGGCCGTACTTTCAAAACTGATATGCAAAATTAATGCAGTCTCAATAAAAATTCCAACAGTATTCCTCACAGTAGTATAGAAAACAATCCTAAAATTTATATGAGACCCACAATAGCAAAACAATGCTGGGCTATAAGAGGAGAGCAGGAGGCATCACAACTCTGGGCTGGAAGTTACACTACAAAGCTACAGTGATTTAAAAAAACAGCATGGTATTGGCATGAAAACAGACATATGGGTCAATGGAACAGGATGCAGGAACAATCCCAGGCATATTCAACTATCTGATCTCTGACAAAGGGCAAAAACATACACTGGGGGAAAGATAGCCTCTTTAGTAAATGATGCTGGGAAAACTGGCTATCCACAAGCAGTTTGAAACTAGACCCACATTTCTCACCATGTACTAAACTAAAATTAAAATGGAGCAAAGATCTAAATATTAAAATAGAATCACTTAATCTGCTGGAAGCTAAAATAGATAAAACTCTTGAAGATATAGACATAGGCAAGGGCTTTCTGAACAGAATCCTGGTTGTACAGGAAAAAATACCAAGAATGAACAAATTTGGTCATATCAAGCTAAAAATCTTCTGCGCAGCAAAGGAAAAAATAAAGTGAGGAGAAAACCTACAGAATGGGAAACTTTTTCCAGCTATTCCATGGACAGAGAACTAATATCTAGAATATATAGGAGAGGAGAGGAGGGGGTGAATGGAGGGCAGGGATGAGGGTAAAATATGAGAACCAAGACCTGTCATGTAAAGGTACAAGATCCCAATAATAAATGTAACTGTACTCTATACCTAAAATGTACCAATAAACTCAAAAAAATCTAGAATATATAAAGAACTCAAGGGCTGAGGATTTAGTTCAGTGGCTCTGCCACCTGCTTCACAAGTGTAAGGTCCTGAGTGCTATCCCTAGTACCAAAAAAAAAAAATACTCGAAAAATGTGACTCCCTCAAAAATAAAAAGACCAAACCAAAAATGCACAACTGAAATGAACAGACACTTCTCAAAAGTTGAAATGGCCAACAAATACATGAAAAAATATTCAACATCTCTAGCCATTAGAGAAATGCAAATTAAGATAAAGTTTAGGTTCCAATTTCCTCCAAAAAGAATGGCTATCAGTAAGAAATCATACAAAAGCAAATGTTGAAGTTGTTGTAAGGAAAACAAAAAACTCCTCTATATTGTTGCTGGGAATGTCAACTACTACAATTACTATGGAAATCAGTACAGAGCTTCCTCAAAATACTAAAACTAGAAATTCCATTTGACTCAGCTTTTCCAGTTTCATCCTGAATACCGAAAGATGGGAGGCTCACATTGGCACCACTGCTAAAGGGAGACCAAAAACAGGGTCTCATGGTGTGTTATTTTTCAACTAGCCCCGATAGATACAACTGTGACCAATTAGCCTGCTACTGCTGTAGCTGATTTGACTGCATAGAAATAATCCTGACTCAATGGACAACTTAGCACCAATGAACTTGTCTGCCAAATCCACCATCACACCAGAGGAGAGGGATAGCAAGTGCTGCTAACCCAAGAACTTGTACTGGATCAAACTTTATAAGAATGCCTGCAATCTAGCTGGGCATGGTGGTGCACACCCATAATCCCAGCACTCAGGAGGCTGAGGCAGGAGAATCGCTGTGAGTTGGATACCAGCATGGTCAGTTTCAACTACATAGTGAGACCCTGTCTCAAAAAACAAAAAACAAAACAAACAAAAAAGAATGCCTGCAATCTGGCAGAAAGAGATCCTGAGTATGAGTTTAAGTATTGCAGTGGTGGGGTCAGAGGAGTTAGTAGGGTGTGAGCACTCAAACTCTCTGGCAAAGAAGTTACTTGGGAATCACATAGGCAATGTCTCATTGGAATATGTAACCTGTGTTACCATTGGACATCTTATTAGTTTGAGTATTTGTTTCTTGAGTTATTAAGGAATTTGGGATTTTTTCAGTTTCATGTGTATAGTAGGTTGTTATTCTTGTATATTTGTTCTGTCATTGACTCTGCTGTGTCTAGGTTCTCTCATTCATCTCAGCTGTTTAGTTTCTTCAGCTCAAATCGCTGAGATAATATCATTACCATATATATTTATTCTTTTTCCAAACATAAGAACTCCTCCCAACCAAGTTTTTAAATTCACCATACTGAGCCCCCCTCCAGGCACTTCTATTTTCACTGATAAATTTCCTTGATCCTCCCCTTTGGATCTTCCATATCTTACCTAATTATTGTCCTCCCTATAAGCAAGTTCTGATAACCACATAGCTTTCCTCAATCACAAAGTGAACCCCTTTTCCCCATATCTCACCTTTGCCCCCCCAAATATTCTCTGAAAACTCTCAATACTAAACCTTCAACGCAACTAAAAGTACGCCAATAAAATTAGACTCCATATCAATCTTCTCTTCTCATCTATTCTCCCTTCCAAACCCTCCCCTTAGTGCCTAATACTACTCATCAAAACACCCCACATTCTCCTCACCCCACCACACTTATCACTGCAGATGAACCACACATAAACAGTCAAAGTATGCATAGATAAAAGACAAGGGGGAAAGAGTAACTGCAAGGACTATCCTATAGAAGTGTCATCACCAGCCAGATCCACCGCGGGAAGGAGAACCACGCCTGCTCCCGACCCAGCAGCCATCACTCAAGTGCTGGGAGGTAGGCAGGGCCCCGATCCACCACGGGAAGGAAAACCACGTCTGCTCCTGACCCAGCAGCCATCGCTCAAGCATCGGGAGGTAGGCCAGCCCAATCCACCGCGGGAAGGAGAACCATGCCTGCTCCCGATCCAGCAGCCATCGCTCAAGCGCCAGGAGGTAGGCCGGCC